ATTGAAATGTCACAGGCTTTACAAAAGCAAACAGGAGGAGTTAGAGCATATGTATCTAATGCCACAGGAAAACTAAAAGTAGAGTAACTATAAAACAAAATGGCAGGTAAAGATTTCTCCTTAAACTGCTGTTGGGGTCGCCGTAGTACGGGCCGTACTATACTCTCGTGCTGCCCGATCTATGCAGTGCACGTTCGCTTACATGTACCAGATGAGCATCACAACAACCGGCAACGAACCATCGTTTTTTCTTCGATTACCGATATCGGGCCCCGATCAGGGGCGGTCATTGTTTTATAAAGAGATCGGAACAGATTCTTGAAGCAGAAATCTGTTAAAAAGTACTTTAAAATAGGCAGAGCGCAGCGCTATCAGCTCGACTTCTCGTCGAAAGGAGCCCGGCTTCAGAGCAGCGTCTGGACGGAAGAAGTCCCTCTGCGCCACGCCGTGCATAATGCACTGCATTGGACCTCAAACAAATCATCAGGATCTACGATATCATGATCCTATCTTGGCATTTGAAGAGCTGAACGTATACTTCCACACACGCATCTGCAAACATGCTCTCAATGAGAGTCTCATGTGCTGCGTGCTTCATTTCCGAATTGGAGTCCGAACTCTTGTTATCGCCAGAATTTTGTGACCCCATGCGTGCCAGCTTACTCTTACTTCTGGTCGCTGCTACCATCGCCATCAGTCTGACGGCTGCTACCAATGGACTCAATCCAGCTCGCCGATTAAAGGGCGTTCAGACCTCCTCGGTAGAGGAGGAGCCTCTAAGAGCTCAAGATGAAGAGAGAGCTGGCTGGGCAGACTTGGCTTCCAAGTTTAAGGCGGGACAGCTTGACGACGCCCTTGAGAAGATGAAGGGTGTAGGACAAGTTGACGATGCTCTTGCGAAGATAAAGGGTGCAGGACAGCTAGATGACGCCGTCGCCGCCGCTGGTGGAAACAAGTGGCAGCAGGCACTTGAGAAGCTTAAAGCACAGAAAGCCTTGCAGAATGCAGAGAAGGTTGCTGAGACGACTACGGCGGGCAAGAACAAGTGGCAGTCGGCCCTCGAGAAGCTTAAAGCCAACAATTTCAAGAATATCGATGACATTAAGATCCCAGTCGCCGACCAAAACAAGTGGCAGGCTGCCGTTGCCAAGATCCAGGCTGGTAAGCTTACGAACCTTGACACAACTAACAACAAGTGGCAGAGTGCCTTCCAAAAACTCAAGGCCTCTGGCCAACTTAAGAACGTCGACGAAGCGCAAGTCGCGAAACTCACGGAAGGAGTGGCTAACGAGATCGCGAAGAACCCCGAGAAGTCGAGCAAGTTCGGGAAAATAATGACGGTCGTGTTTGGTGCTGCGATCACGGGGCTTGTTGTCTACGGCATCAGCGCAATGGTTACTTCGTAGGTGCTAAAAAGTATGCTTTAGTATTTTGTAGTACTGAAGAATTAGCTTGGGTGTTTTTAATAAACAAGTACAAGTCTACCTCGACGTCAAAAAAAAGTGTAGCAGCAGCCACTTCAAATAAAATCCCGCAAACACGCAAGAACAATACCATTGTACAATGAAGTGTCTCTTGACCAACCTCTTTAACTCTTTGCAACATAATTATTCCGGAGGGTTCATTGAATGTCTTAAAGTGCAGAAACGTAGGAGCTACCGGTATTATAATCGCTGCACTTATTAGTAGTGTTAATAATTATAATAATTCTATTTGAAGAACTGTCCACTGTAGAGCTACGTAGGTACCGAATACTAACGTTACTTAATAATAGTATACTGTACGCGAGCTAATTTAAATTAGCGCAGCGGGAAGTCACATGCTTTTCATGTGATTCAAGTACTGAAATAGCAACTACCGTGGACGCCATTTTTATCACTATCCGGGGGGGGCTGCTGTAATGGCCTTCAATGGACTATGCGAAGCTGTACAGAGTGAGCGTGCGCAAAGTCCTGATACTAAGCGTGGAGCGCTCTGATATTCTATACTAGCACCTGTCTTTGTTAAATACAGGAGGGACACGCGTCCCATAGTTGTGAATACGAGCGTTTTGAAGAGTAGGACCCATCGCCCATGAGCTTGCCGTGATGATGTTGCGCTTTCTTACAAACAACATGATGCCCCGCCAGAAGAGTTAGCTCACCAAAGTAACATTCGCTTTAACAAAGGACCCTTAGATAGTAATATTCGTCATTTTTGTACCAGTATTACTAAGTACAATCTGGATACTAGAGGTAATTTTGACTTGGGTGCTCTACGCCGCAGTTTGCTCTCTAATTTAACGTGCACGCAATAGCGCAAATCATGTTACTGTATAGACTTGGCTTGAGTGAAAACCAATTTGAGTACGATACTTATTAAAAGGATTATTTATACTTAAGTAATAAGTACACTAAGTAGGTCGAAGCCAAAATACGGCAATTTCTAATGTTCATTTCGTGAGAGTACGATATGGTACTAGGATAAAGAGGTCGATGAGATCTTCCCAACCCCACTTGTTTAATAAAAATTTGATTAGATTCATCAAATTTTCTGGAGCTTCTAAGTTTGTGGCATCACTAAAGTGTCTGATTTTATATGTACAGCACGTGCTATTGTGTGTTGTAAATAAGTCGATATGTGAAACCTCTATACTTGTTAATTCGTTTCGAAAGGGTGTTTTTTTTTATAGATGTCACTTTTAATCCATCGAACAAAGGATTTACTGAAATTTCTCAGCGGTTAATAAAAAATTGAAAAAGGAAGCAAGGTTTTCTTTCTGTAATTGATATTATGGTTAGCAAATCGAGTGGCAAATGGTGTGCTAACGTTAGTGACAAGTTGATACTATAAGAGATTAACCCTCGCTATTTGTATTGGTACGTGTACGTGGAGATAACGTTGCTACTTTCAATCGCAGCAGTGAGTGTGTCATGCCTTAGAGCTGTTCCGACAGACTTCACCACAGTACTTATACTAGTATTCTCATTTGTGGATAGTGCAGGCTCCCCCAACTCCTTGACAGCCTCCTCATGCAAGCTAACGAGCAGTTCGGCGGCGCGACATCTTGAACGTCTATCGGCTCAGACTCAGACAAGTTGCTACGCGCTCATATCTGTGGCAGAGACTGTAAATCCATCAAAGTCTGAGTTCATAAAGTAGCGTGTTAACACTGCGATGTAAATTTGACGCTGTGGTGCGACCTACCCTTTAACTGCGATGTGAAGGGTGATAAAATGACGTAGGCCAATGCGTGTCCCACTAAAGATGTACTCAAGCAGCTATATACTATTGTTATAGCCCACTGCATAAACCCTGCATACTTAATAAAATAATCTACATGTTTTAGCCACCTGCGAAAAAATGCCAAGAGAAGTGTGAATGTAAATCAACGTAATGTACGTATTTAGACATTTTTTATACTTTGAAAAGTACTGAGGGAACCGTACGTACTGTACCGGTATTCGTTCTGGTCGGTCAGGTCTCATATGTTGTTCTTGCATGATTGGGCATTGCAGACGCGAAGATGGAGTGGAGCCTAATTGGCTGCTCTCTCTGACGCGCAGGAGGTGCCCTACCTCATCGTGGTTTGAAACGATGGAAACTCCCCACGATTGGGTAGAACAGAACCGTGCCGACAGTATGCAAAATGCACTTGAGGGAAAGGAATGCCCTGGTCTTGGTCCTTCTTGCAGCCACCGCCATCCCTTCAGCCCGTTACCCCGCCGTTCATTCTGTAATCGGCGTCTGCTCCATTAGAGCGCGCCTCGCCCAGTATCATGCGTCCAAGCTTCGTCCTCGCGCTGTTGGTGGCCTTCGTAGTGGCATGCGTTAGCGTCACTGCGAGAGCGAACGCCGCTGTCCAGCCGAAGCTCACGATCGAGATAGCGAGCAGTATGTCGACACGCCGGTATCTGAAGGGAAGGCAGGGAGGGACTGTTAATGACGATGAAGAGAGACTGTTCACGGGTGCTATTCAGAAAATGCCGGGCTTTAACAAAATCAAGGCTGCCTTTCAGAATAACCCAAGTTTTGCCAAGAATTTGGAGAAGTTTCGTATGAAACGCCAGCGTCTCGATGAATTTTTCAAGGAGAATCCAGTTATTAAGAAGGAAATCATCGTCGCTTCCGTGCTTTTGACACTGATTTTCAGTGTGCCGATTGTAGTCAATGCATTTTTCCGGCGTAGGAAAGATGCAGAGATGTTCCAAAATATAAACGTCGTCATAGAATCTGAAGAGATTACAAGAGCTCTTAACATAATATCGAAAAGTAACTTATCAAATACTACGAGTAAGGTGAACATGCGAATACAACACGGTCGTTTGTCATGGTTTTAAGCTCATAGCAGCGGTAGCAGAGTGACATCGTAGGTGTATGTGGGTACAGGTTAAACCCGGGTGCGAGGAAGATAAATTCTAAGTGGGTTGGCTTTAGCTGATAGCTCATTTTGAGTTCGACACTTGAACTACACAGCAACTCAATCTCTAAGCTCCCAGAGGCTGACCGACGCGTAATACAGAAATACCAAAACTACGGAGATTGAGGTAACGGTAGATCGAGAAAGCCGCACCCAAATAAAAACTTCTCAATAATCCCAAAAGTTGCTTCAGAAATTTACAATAGGGGGAGTCGAACATTAAGAAATGATCCAAAAAAATAAGCAGAGACGTGTCCAATTTGTAAGCGGAGGAGTGTACTGTACAATTACTGAGCAGAAACAGTAAAGGAGAGTCGAACACAGAGGCTCAATTTCGCACTTAAAAAGAGACAATGTGCATTTTCTTAAGCGACGACTCGCACAGACACTGCTGTGGCGCCGCCACAGGCTACACTGTAGCCTACAGGGTCGCGGGCTCTGGTGCAATGTCGCCGTGCTATGAGTGCAGCCCTCTATGCGGCATCTATCTCCAACATGTGTGCTGCACGACCCGTCTTGGGCCCCAAGTTGGGGCACCCGACTTCTGGCCGGAGACGGGTGCAGAGCAACGCGCGTCTTCCTCCGGTAAATATAAGAGGTGGCTTTTTGGGTACTTTGAAAGTGAGCAGGTCGTTGTAATAGATTTACATCCAAATCGAAAGAATTTGTAAGAAGGAATTATTAATACGTGTAACATTCGGTACCTCAGACTGGCATAAGTTTTGTCGCTACAAATTAGGGGCTATTCGCGTCCTAAGTTGGTTGCCAGATCGGTTGAGCCCGAGGAGACGGCAGGTTAGACTATTTGACGCCTGAGCTTGGGGAGCGAAGACGCGAACTGCCGCGGAAGCTCTCTATACCGAAACCTATGTTTCAACATTCTGAAACTCCCAATGGTGGTTCAAATGGCCTTCTATTTGGGTATGTTTTTTTATCCTATAGAAGCCTTACTACCGTAAAACACGAATTTAATGCTACACTGGTAAAAAGTTCAATTCTAGTATAAATTGCATAGAGGCGTGCCCACCCGTAAAAACTTGTGTTCACTGCGCACCAACAATCTCACTTCCGCGCCAAAATGACACCCGCCCCCATTGTGCAAATGACACGGCGCCCGAAGAACAAAAACAAGTCCAAGCTGCGAGGGCTTTTACGCCTCGGAGAGGCCAGCTCAGTCGTTGCCTTGGCTGCTGAGCTAGGCGTTCACCGAACGACAATGTACCGGTGGATGCGGCAAAAAAATGCCCTTGCCAGTGCCGCACCAAACAAGTACTACGCCTCAGTACCAAGCCGCCAAAACCTCTACGTTAAACACCCGAATCTCGAGCAAAGGTATTATAATTTATGCATTAAATTTCGAATACTAGTAATTGTTCTAAAAGTGTATGATTAAGACTGTTGTCGTGGATTACAGAAATGCGCAAAAATCGATCTCTCTGTGTTTCGATGCAATGTCTGCTTCTAATGCATTCTAGGTTTGATAGAGAGCTCTTTGCGAGTCGTTCCCGCGGTGCAAATATCGAGTTTTTGCGCCGCTTTCTCAAACGTAGCAGGCTTTTCTATCAGACGCATTACTCATAAAGGCCGCAAGATAAGATCCGACATGGAGATAATGCTAGTAATACTGTTTATTTTTACTTCTATTTCCTATTTTGTGTTTCAGCTTGTTGTTACAAAGTTTAGTCACTCATCAGTACGCAATTGAAGAGTGTGGAGCTCTTTCATATGCCACGGGCCCGTCCAAATACGGCTCTGTGTTCAACATGGATCAAACTGCAATTTACATTGACATGAATGGCAAGACAACAATCGACTTCGTTGGAACTCCAACTGTGGACGTCAGACAAGGTATTTTTCAATTACTAAAAATATTCAAACTTCTTCATATTTTTTACTAACTGTGCGTATTGTAGGAAGTGAGGTGAATGGGTTTCGCTGTTCTGTATTTTTAGCTGCATCAGCCACGGGAGTTAAATTGCCCCCCCTCGTAGTTTTTGCGGGCATTCCAGGCGGTCCGGTGTCACAGGACGTTTGGAATCCGTCCTTTGGACACTCATCATGCGAACACACTGTTCAAAAGAAAGCGTTTTGCAACGAAGCTGTGATGCAAGAGTGGATTCAACGCGTACGTACAATATCGGTTTATTTTATTGTAATTATGAGTTTCTAAATTGTTATGGTACTAGATCTGGAAACCCTCAGTAGATGGCTGTAGGTTACTCCTGTTGGACAGCTTGAAAGTCCACAAGATGAATTCTGTTCGTACCGTGCTCGAAGAAGACTGCTGCACGCAGGTTGAGTTTGTTCCGCCGGGGATAACAGGGCTGGCGCAGCCGATGGACGTTGCTGTGATGAAGCCATTCAAGGATTATGTGCGGTAAGTTTTCGTTTTGCTTTATTATAAATATTTTCTAATTGTTATTAAAATGCAGAAATAGCTACTTGGCTTACCACATTGATCATGAGTTCCCAAAGACCCCACAAGAGAAGCGTCAACTTATTTCGCGCTTTGTAGCAGAAGGGTGGGCTTCAATCTCGCCGGCGACGATTCGAAAGGGCTTCGCCAAGAGCGGGATACTACCTACTGGGCCTCGAGATATAGAAGACCGCTTCAGAGTACCAACTTATGCAGAAGAAGAAGCACCGATTCTAGAAGTAGATCAAGAAGAATAAAATGGATACACTGAGTAGGAGGGGTGAAACCTTTAAAGATTCGCCTTTTTGTTTTTGCACATCGTGTGATCTGCATTTTTACTCTTTGTTGCACTCGATCCGTGTGTAGCATTGGATCCGTGTTTTACGGTATGATACGCTATTAAACGGTTCTCAATGGAGTCCGTCTTTCTGTATGGCTGAGGGTTTGCCTTTTGTTGAATTTGTTCTTCCGTCCGCTGAAGATACTCTTCGAATGCGCTTCGGTGGGTCATCCTGTTTGTATTGTCGAATATATATGTTGCATTTTGGTCCATTGCAGCCAGTGTCTTGGCTGCTGTGAATGCCGCTAGCTTCGGTTTTCTCCACTGTATCCTGAAAATTGAGGCTAGTGCACTGAGATTACGGCAGTCGTTGTAGTCGGCCTTATCTTCTGAGTCTTTTCTGAGCATGCTGGAGGCTCGTGAATTGATGGTATCAATCAATAGGATTATTCGCTGAGGCTCATCTTGACGACAAATGGCTTGTCCTGCTTGTTCGAGGACGAGTAGATCAAGTTTTGAGCGGGATTGCTGGTGGTTAAATGTGTTGCTACCAGCTACATGGAGCTTCCACGCGTCATTTCTTTCTAAATGGTATACTAGCCATCCTCCTTGGGACTCTTTTCCGGGAGTATTTCTCGCGTAGTAACGGATTAGCCAGGTTTCCAGATGTTCCATATCCATTTCAGGGTGAACAGATATCATGATTCTATGGCATAGTTCCAGACACACACCCAATATCCGCTCTGATGGTTGCGCCTTCCATGAGCTAGCTACCGCCATGACTTGGTACGTGCCAGCTCCCAAGACTATGGAGGCTGTTTCGCTTTTTGATGTGTGTATTTCGTTGAAAATATGACGATTTCGTAGTCTCCATAGTATGACTAGGGTTGTTGTTGTCCATATTAACCATAAAATCTCCATTGCTTTGTCGTGACATATTGTCCATCGCGTTATGCATTGCTGAGCTACGGACAGGAATTCTGCTGTCGCTGTTGGTGACTTCCTTGACGCAACGTGTTCCAGTAATGCCTTTCTTTTCGTCAAGGTAGTTGGAACTCCGAGCCATTGATCAAGCCATCTTTTCCAAGCATGTTGTGCTTTATCGCAGCTCCATACTATGTGGTCTATCGTTTCAGTGGTGCAAGGACATGTAGGTTCAGGACATTCACGGTGGTCAGGCCATTTATCGTGGCGCAAGTTGAGAGCTCCAAGAGCGATACGATACATTGTCCAGTTTTGGAAGTCTGTAAAAATACCTTGGGTGGACCACAGCTGGTAAACAGTTTGTTGAAGCGCTGCACTTTGCCAGGCTGATGCACTTTTTTTCCTTTTTATTTTTTCGAGAGTGGGTTGAAGGCTGTATCGAAGTTGTGTTTTTTAATACCTTGGTTCGCTGTTTACGGATCGTGATTCCCAAGTTGGCTGATTTCGTGAGTTCTGGTGCTGACCAAGGATAGAGAGCGGTTTGCGGTGTTTGTTTAAAAGCGAGACCTTCTCGGTTTATCCAAGCCACTAATTCTTCATAGTCGTAAGTTTTTTGGTACGATGCTGACGCTTTCATAATGCTCCAGGTCCACCCGTCTTGGTTTCGTTGCAGTTGTATGTCCAGATTGCTGCTCTCTCCGCTCTTTACTTTAGCTGTTATAGTGTCGTCAGCTTCCCCATAGGTCCATTCTAAATCATGTTGCATATGTGGGATATTTCTTGGTTGTAGTGTTTGGGGCTTCACTGTCCATATCTTCCAAGGTAGGCTGAGCATGACACATGAGCACCATCTCACTATTTGGCGTGAATGTCTCTGTGTGTATGGCTGTTTATGCAGTGGTGGTTGTAACACGGCGGCCTTGTCGCTTTGCATTGGGCTCAAATTCTCGATAGTAAAGACTATATCTCTGATTCGTGCTGGTCGCAAAGATGGAAAGTTCTGTAAGCGGAGAGGGTGGCCGTTTTTGTCAGTCACATTTGCGCTATCATGCCACGGTGATTCAAGAAGGAAGTTCGCGTATTCATCTGGAATGTCGCAGTCGTTTGTCATCGCTGTTATAAATCGTAATTGTGTGCCTGATATCCAGTAACAGGATCATGTTGCCGGAGCTGATATAATCATTTGTTGTATTTTCTTAAGTTGATCGTTCTTGGGTATCATTTTGATTGACTGCGAGTTCCATAATTCCAGTTTACCTAGAAGCTGAACAGAAATTTGTGGCTGACGACGGGATTCCTT